GAAGTAGAAACCATAAACGTGGCATAAATTCCACATAGTAATGCAAAAATACTCCAACAGCACTTAGTTGTCTGGGCATAAGAGCAGTGGGAACACCTCACTGGACAGACACCCCGTGTGCATATGCAAGGGAACAGGGCTGTTGGGAAGACCTCAAATGATCAACCACAGGGTTCAGCCAGGTGGGCTGAAAGAATATGGTCAAGTCACTGGAGTAGGAATGGTAGATGGCTTCCATCTCAGTTGTTAGCTCCAATTGATAGAATCCTGTGCAGAGAAGGATTCCAAAGTTACCTCTGTGCTCAATAGGAAAGAGTGCATGATCGGTCAGGAACATTCCCCATGGGCCCCCATGCCAGGTGTTCACCATCTCTGGACTAGAGGCCAGATAAGGCCAGGAGAGAAAAGAAGTCAGAGAGCTGGGAGGAGGGGAGGTCAGAGAGGGAGATGTGGGGACCTGAGGTTGCCAAGGTGGAATTTTCCCTGGAGCTTTCGGGGCCTAGACCTTGGCCATGGGAAGGTTTGGCTGAATAGAGGATAAGACATGGTCTAGTGTTCAAAGACCTGAACACTGCTGCTTTTGTCTCACCAGAAAAGAGAAGTGTCTTCAGGGAAAAAAATAAAAATAAAAGACACTGTGCCTTAAGAGAAGGATGGATAACTGAAAGAGAAATTGGCCCTTACAGTGGAAATGGAGGAAAGCATGGGGAAGCCTGATTCCTGCATTATCATCAGCCTCCACTTTGAATAAGCCAAAGAAAGTGGGGGCATGCCGCATGTGTGGGCCTCCTCCACACTCAGGGCTCACCCTGACCCATCCGCACCCCGTGGGGAAATCAGCCGCTGACCACCTCCTGCAGCAGGGCAGGCAGGGAGTGAGCCAACCACCTCTCCTCCAATGACCTGATGTCATGGCTTTTTTTTTTTTACTCATGGTGAGAACACTTAATATGAGATCTATGCTCTTAACAAATGTTTAAGTGTAAAATACAGTATTATTGACTATGGGTACGATGTCATACAGATTTCTAGAACTTTCCCACTTCATTAACTGAAACTTAATGCCCTCTGATTAGTAAGCCTCTTTTCACCCTGCTTCCCCCAGGCCCTGGCAAAGGCACTCTTTGACCCCATATATTTGGCTCTTTTAGATACCTCATGTAAGTGGGAGCATGCAGTATTTATCTTTCTGTGACTGGCTTTTTTTCACTTAGCTTAATGTCTGTCCTCAAGGTTCCTCCATGTTATCACATACTGCAGAACGTCCTTCTTTTTTAAGGCTGAATACTATCCCATGGCATGTATATACCGTTTGCTTTATCCACCTCATCCATCGACGGACACTGGTTGTTTTCACATCTTGGCTCTTGCGAATAATGCTGTGGTAAGCACGGGAGTGTAAATATCTCTTCGAGATCCTGATTGCGATTTTTCTGGATAAATATCCAGAAATAGAATTACTGAATCATATGATAGTTCTGTTTTTAACTTTTTGAGGCACCTCCATACCGTTTTCCATAGCAACTGCACCACTTCGCATTCCCACCGCCCGTGCACGAGGGTTCCAACTTCCTCACTTCCCCGCCTGAATCTCTTTCTGGGCGCTGGAGGGACAGTGTCTCAGGAGGGTCTCAGGGAAAGACCATCCCCTCCTCTCAGACTCAGTGCCACCATGGAGGGCTGAGCCCACAGTTCTCCATGCTTCCCTGTCTGCCAGCTTGCCTCATGGGTAAATGTAGAGAAGGAATCAGGATGAATTCGTGGCCCTAAAGAGCATGTCTAAAAGGGTTTGTCAAAAAAAGGGTTAATGGCTGCTTCTCTGCGGGGAAACCCTAAAGAAATGAGTGTTCTGGAGTGTAGAACATTCGCTTTTACGGTAGGTGGTGTTATTGTTACATGTTCATACAGACAGTGCTAATTAACAATCCTAAAGGCCACATCATTAAATTATTTCTCAGCTTAAAACCCTGCAATGTTTAACGCACCCCAGCAATTCAATTATATCTAAAACACTAGCTTGAATGCCAGGCATTCTTCTGGGGCTGACAAAGTGCAGGTTGCTCTTAAGGGTAGGTGAGGCTTGAGAAAGAAAGAAAAGCATCTGACGGGCTGCTTCCCTGGCCCTCACCCTGTCACATATTCTACATAGGGAAGCAACAATAATCTTCAAAGAAAATTGAAAGTGGACCTAATCTTTGCCAGAGAGACAAAATGTAGACTACCCATTTTTCCGTATGCGCAGATATGAAGAATCCGATCATATTTTCCTGAAGAGCTCACCTGAAGATCAAATCATTGCCCTCACATCTGTGTAAGGTCCATTGGGGATGGAATGGGATTTTCTTCTGGGTCCTGCCACCCATCCTTTGTCATTCCTAACCACTGCAAATTGCATTTGGGTTTGAACTTGGGACAATGTCATGGCTTTGGGCTGGGTTTTGCTTGGATGTATATATATCACAGTCAGCAGAGAGCACTTTGAAGAGCACACAAAGCCTCTTTGTCTCCCGCCCAGTGAAATATCTTCAGTACAGAGTGCAGCGAGAAAGGGCTTCAATCTAGCTTAAACACACACACACACACACACACAGGCGCACGCGCGCGTGCGTGCACACACACGCTCTTCCCCTTCCCTACCACCCCAGCCCGATCTTCTCTGTAGTGAGACAGTTCTCTGCATAGGCGCAGAGCCTGGTTCAACCGGCCAAGTGGCCTCAGTCCTCTGGACAAGATTTGGCAGGCAATACCATGACAGAACCTCCCGCTTGGAAAATGCTGGTGCCGAGAACGCATCTGGGAGCGGCACATATGTGATTCCACTGGTTTTCACACAAAGAGGCAGACTGTGCCAGTGACCAGCTGGGCACTCAGCTGCAGCCATGGAAGCAGGAGTGAGGGAGCAAACCAGCGATTCTCTTTGCATGGTCTCCCCAAATACCCTGTCTCTGCGTGAACCGTTTCCTCATTACTCGCCTTCCTAACACTATGCCAACAGGAGCCTTCGAGAAGGCTTCACTAAACTCTACAAAACCAGGAGACATGTATCTCCTTAGTCATACCACCAACCATGGTGTCTTACACAGAGCATACTTTCAATAAAAGTTTGTTGAATGGAGGGATGGAGGGATGGATGGATGGATGGATGGGTAGGTGGGTGGGTGGGTGGATGGATGGATAGATGGAATGGATGGACGGATGACGGATGGATGGATGCATGGGTAGAAGAATAAAGCAAGCCAAGATGCTATTACCCCTCTCTAAAAGAACTGAATCCTCTCACTGACAGCCTCAATCTTGACTCTTGATCTCCAGAGAGGTAGTACAGGCTGGGGTTAGCCAGGCCAGAAATGCCCTTGTAGTGCTGCCAATCCTCATTCTCTCCCCCATGGCAGACATTGCTAACAGGCCACTGTGTTCTTGCCAACAGATTCAAGACCTTTCCTCTCAATTCTCCTCACTAGTGGTCCAGACAGGTACTACTTAGCCTCAGACAGGATGCAACCAAATTTCTGTCCCAGGGTTAGAATATTGGCTTTGGGGTCTGAGACCATTGTTAGATCCTGATTCAATCATTTTCTTACTGTGAGACCTGGAGAAAGCTACTGAAAGTAAGATATCACAAAACTAAGCATTTAGGGTTTATTTGGTTTTTTATCTGTATAAAGGAAGATAAAGAACTGAATTCATAAGTTTCCTGTGGAGATTAACAGGGAAATTTAGTTAGGACCTGACATAGTAGGTGCTCAATAATCATTAGTTGCTTTTATCCAGAGACTATTTATGGATTATCAAGTCCCTCATTCCTATGGAAGGTTTTCTCCATCATTGTTAAGTTTATTGCTCAGTTGCTCTCTCCCCGTGGATAACAGAGAAAAGGCAGTACATGAATTCAGACTGCCTTGGTGCCAGAGAAGCAGGACTAGCATGGACTGGGGAACAACAGTGTCTAATTCAGCTAGCCTAGAACAGTTCCGATGGGCATTGTGTGGAGACACAACAGTAGAGTGAACAGATCTAGAAGTAAGGAGGCCTGGGTTCTAGTCAAAGCCCTGTCCCCAACTAACTGGAATCCCATGGAGAGGTCACCTCATTTTTTCCAAGATACAGCCGTTGGATTGCCTAAATGCTAAACCTCCAATTCTGTGATTCTATCAAGTTGACATCTTCTCACATTTCCAAGGAATCTGGGCTTGACCATTCCCACTGAAAAGAAACTCTGAGAACTGGTTAACACTTATCTGTGCTATGCGTCTGGAAATTAGTCCATGTCATGGCCCCCTCATAATGCTGATGATAACATAACACTCAAATCATACTAGCCACGGGTCCAGGATGTGTTCCAAGCCACACACACACACACACACACACCTACACACACACCATTTAACTTCCACAACTCTCTAGCTATGAGGTAGGTAAGATCACAATCTTCATTTCACAGATAAAATACCGAAGCACAAAAAATAAAAAAGTAGCTTGTCCAAGGTCAGACAGTTCTGAGTGCTGGGGTAAGTATTTGAATCCAAACAGTAAGGGTCAGCTGTGCTGAGGCAGAGTGATAGTTGTCCTTGTCAGTTGGCAGGTCTCTTCTCTCCGGGGAGCCTCCCTGGTGGAGAGGCAGGCTGGTGTAGTGACCCAGGAGGAGGTCTCTGGCCCGGCCTGCCTGGGCTCGAGGCCCAGCTCTATTTAACGACTTTTGTGCCTCCATCTCCCCGAGCATAAAACGAAGCTAATAAGCATAGTCCCTCACAGAGTTAGTATACGAATTAAATAAGTTACTCTAAGAAGAGGTTGTCACGTGAAGTCTGGCACCCAGCCAGGGCCACAGAGGTGTGCGCCCTCACTGGGCACAGGAGCCCAGCCCACACGTCCCCGCACTCCTTGTGCCTCACACACACTATGTGCTCGCGTGTCCACCCAGGTGATTTACCTGAGCAGCTCAAGAACATGCGCTGGGGGCCAGACAGACCGGGTTCAGTCCCAGCTCCACCACAGCTCACCTCTGTGACCTGGAGCACTTCAGGTCACTTCTTTTGGAGTCTGCGTTTTCTCTGTTTATAAAATGGGACTCAGACACGCTGCCCCGTGAATCCCACAGAATGCTTGAGCTACTTCAAGTCGACGAGATGTGTGTGTACACGGTGCATAAACTGTTAGATAAAAGAAAAGAGCATAATTAGTTTAGGCTTGATGAAACCACCTCCTGAGGGCCTCTGAAGGCCTCTGCTGGAGGCTCATTCTCACCTTAGGGCAAAAGCAGAAGGGACGGTTGCCTCCAAAGGAGCCCTGTTTGGAGAAATCTTGCTAAGCCAGACAACGTTATCATAAAAGCATGCTGCAGAGGGGCCTTTGATCTTATCAAACTGGAGGAACCACTCCTTTGTGTCCAATATGGCGCAAGTCATGGGTTCGCTGCTCTAGATGGCTGTGTTCCAAAATATTCAAGGCGTTCTGCTAGCAATGACACGCAGTTTGATGGAAGTCAGGCAGAACATGATGTTACAGACAAGACAATATGATGAAGGAGGCATTTATTTTAGTTGCTCTTTCCCTTTAGCGTTGGACACATCTGAGTTTCAGCGCCAGGCTATGTGACCTCTCTAATCGCTGCCGTCTCGCGTAGGCCAGTTGTGAGGGTGAGAGACCTCACACAGACTCTGGCATGTAAGAGACGCTCCATGAACTGAGGAGTCGTTGTTGTTACCATTTGCCCCTTTCAAGACTCCCAGGTTAGTTGTTTCAGCCTGAACCCAGGGACGCAAGAGCCCTCAGATTCTGCCTTCCTGTTCCTTCAGCCTGCTCTGGGCAGCACTCCATGGTCTAAACCTTTCCTGGCTTCTGCCAACAAACCCTCCTTTGTCCCCCTCCCATCAGATAGGCTAGTTCCTGCTGAGAGATGTGCCTCCTAAATGTGTTCCCCATCCAGGTAACTCTTGCTAAAATCTCAGTACAGCCCTTAAAGGCAGCATCCACACCACATTCAACCAGTCAAAACAAATCACAAGGCCGGTCCAGATTCAAGGAGTGAGGAAACAGACTCTGCGTCTTGATGGGAGTTGCTTAAAGTTACTGTGTCACTTTTTAATTCTACCATAGGTAATAAATATAAAAGACCTGGTCCTCAAACCAAGTGGACCTATCATATTTTTGGTTCAGAAATTCTTGCGGTGGCTTTTTTTTTTTAAGACTGTATTTATGTATTTATTTGAGAGAGAGAGAAAGCACAAGCAGGGAGAGGGGCAGAGGGAGAAGCAGGCTCTTGCTGAGCAGGGAGCCCAATGCAGGACCCAATCCCAGGATCCTGGGATCATGACCTGAGCCGAAGGCAGATGCTTAACTGACTGAGCCACCCAGGTGCCCCTGAAGTGGCCTTTTATATAAACCTAAAGAAATATTTGTTGAGACTTTGCTCTTCAGCACTCTGCCAAATACTGGAAAGGAAGGAAGGATTTAAAATATGTTTATGGCGGGGCGCCATCAGGCTCCCCGCTCAGCGGGAAGCCTGCTTCTCCTTCTCCCACCCCCCTTGCTTGTGTTCCCTCTCTCACTGTCTCTCTGTGTCAAATAAATAAATAAAATCTTTTTTTTTAAAGATTTTATTTATTTATTCTTCAGAGACAGAGAGAGAGAGAGAAAGAGAAGCAGAGGGAGAGGCAGGCTCCCAAGGAGCAGGGAGCCCGATGCGGGACTCAATCCCAGGACCCTGGGATCATGACCTGAGCCGAAGGCAGACGCTTAACCATCTGAGCCACCCAGGCGCCCATAAATAAAATCTTTTAAAAAAATAAATAAAATAAAATGTTTATGGCAATGTCTCTGCCCTCCAGGTGCTCATAATCTAATTGGGAGAAAAAACATACACACACCAAGATGAATAATAAGACCAGAGTAGAGGAGCTGTGACAAGGCCAGACATGATTAGTTGCTAAATATAATGTACAGACATTAAGTTCTGAGACAGAAAAGAGGGTGTGTCCGGAGTCATCAGGGAAGTCTTATCAGAGGAGAGAGGATTTAAGATGGGTCTTGAAAGATGGTTGGTTGGCACAAAGCACCAACCTGACATGACTCCCTGACATCCTCTTTCTATCCAGTCTCCCTTTCTAGAGGTCCTTCTTTCAGAAGGGTCTCCCTATAGTCACAGCTTGCATGATTAGGCTCTGCTTCCAATGCTGTAGGGGAAAAGAAGTAAAATCCTAATCCTCAGAAGCTCTTTCCTGGTGATAGACAGAAGGGTATAGTGGAAAGATACTGGATATTTTTAGCCCCCAAAGCTGGCAATGTATATTTGTTTTTCCTCTCAAAGACTTCATTCCTTTATCTTTATCTCTCATAGGGTTTGTTTTTATAGCAGTACATGGAACATCACAGAGGATTTGAATGTAACCCTGCTGGCACATAGTAGACAATAAATAAAATTTATTCTTTCTCGTTCATGCTTCTCCACTGCCTCTGCCATCCACATCTAACTTATTTATTAAATGTCCCATGGAATACTTAGCAAATATCGCAGCACGAGGCCTCTGCTGTGGTACTTGTACAGTAAAGTCCACTCCAAGAGGTCCCAGTATAGATGGGACACAAGAAAAGTGCCCAGTAAATATTTGTTCTTCCTGCTTGCATTTCCTGAAACTCATCATGCTCACTCCTGTCTCTGAGCAACTCACCCACATTGCTCCATCTGCCAGCCCCATACCCCATCCACCAACCGAACTAACTAGCTCATTACCATTCATCTTTGGCAACTACTCCTCCAGGAAGACTTCCCTGCCCCTACTTCCCACCCATCCCCACTCTGGTTTAGGTAGCTCTCCTACTGCTCCTATAGTAGTACATGGAACAGCATAGGATTTCAGAAAATGGTTATGGAAGGATGGAAAGATGGATGGATAGATGGAAGGAAGGAAGGGAGGGAGGGAGGAAGGAAGGAAGGAAGAAGGAAGGAAGAGTGGATGGATATATGGATGGATGGATATATGGATGAATGGATATATGGATGGTTAGTTGAGGTATCCCAATCAGAAATCAATCTGCTGGGGTGCCTGGGCAGCTCAGCCAGTTACGCATCCGATTCTTGATCTCAGCTCAGGTTTTGATCTCAAGTTTGTGAGTTTGAGCCCCATGTTGAGCTCCACACGGGGCATGGAGCCTACTTAAAAAAAAAATACCAATCTGCCAAATCTCCTTTTACACCTTTGGGCCAGTATAAATTGTCTCTTCTAAGGCATACATTTCTCAAATCAGAGAGGGAGGCTAAACTTTCTATGAATAGGTGGGAGTAAATGATTAAGTCTCAGTCTCAGAATAAGAGACCTGCCGTGGAAAATTCCTGCACAGCACGTTGCACACTTAATACTCACAGGAAACAGCAGGTAAGCAACATAATTAGAAGGAGATGCATAAACACGAGGAACAAATGCCATCCCCCTCTGGAAGTTTCCAGGGGCAAACTTAAGACAAGGTCCATGGAGATAAGATTCTTTACCAACTGTCAGACTCAGTAAGCACAAGACCCCAAACTTGAAATGTTTGGGAAGGAAACATTTCTGTCCATGGAGACCGAAGTTAGTGGCTCTGAGATCCCTAGCATAAATCATTTTCATCCTGCCAAAGGCTTCAGTAAGCAAGGGGACCAGGAGAGCCCCTGGTCTCAGCTTCCTAATGCCTACTTTCTCTCTCACTCTGCACAAAACCCCCACCACCCCCTGCCCCACCTCCTTACACAATGCGTCCCATTTTGAGATCACAGAAAAATAAACATTGCTTATTTCATTTGAAACACCATGACATTTTTCTTTAAAAAAACTCATACGACAAAAATAAAACACAATAATTGATTCAAATGTTAAAGCCATGAAGAACATACTATCTGAATTTAATAAAAGAAAATGTATACCATGAGTGCATGAAATGTTAAAGGAAAGTGTCACACAAAAGAGAACTTAATTGATCTCCTCTCTCGTATTTCCTCCCTTGGTTCTTTCCTGCTTGATATCCACACAACAAACATTTATTGACTGTCGTGTTCCAAGCAGTGTGCTAGGCCCCTTGATGTAAGTTGAATGTGGCACAATTGTTTCCCACAATCTAAGGGGGACAGTGAATACACAGTTACTGTACAGTATAAGATGAGAGAGATACATCCAGAGCACAGCAGGGGCACAGAGAAGAAACACCCAAAGCAGTCTGATGGGTCACAGAAGGCTCCCCCAGGGAAACATCTGGAGGGTGAAGGTGATCTCAAGGATAAGAAGGGGTAGGTTTGCCAGGCAAAAAGGATGCAGGTTACACGCAGCAAGAATAGCAGACACGGAATCAGAGCAATGAATCAGCATTCAAAGAACTATGGGCCCCTCATCATGACTACAGGAATGGGGTAGGCAAAGTGAAAGAGAGACACGGGAGTCAAATTATGAAATATCTTTTTTTTTTTTTAGATGTACTTATTTGAGAAAGAGAGAGCAGGGGTGGGGGAGATTCAGAGGGAGGAGAGAGAGAATCTCAAGCAGACTCCCCACTGAGCATGGAGTCTGATGCGGGGCTCGACCCAGGTGCCCCCAAATTATAAAATATCTCACATGCAAAACTGAATTGTACTTTATCTTAAGAGCTATGAGAGCTACTGGAGGGCTGTAAGCAAGCAATACTGTGATGTGATTTGCATTGGGAAAAACGATCCATCATCAGGTGGAGGATGGACAGTAAGGGGTTGAATCTGGAGGCAGAAAGACCACCTAGAAAAGTATTGGCGTAAGCTTGGTGAGAAAGGATGAGGGCCTAGTAGACCAAAGCAACGGCCATAGGAAAAAATGGTTGAGAGTCTTTGAATTTTGGATGGAATCATGTATTTTTGTTTTTTGGTTTTTTGGGGTTTTGTTTTTTTAAAGATTTTATTTATTTATTTGACAGAGAGAGACACAGCAAGAGAGGGAACACAAGCAGGGGGAGTGGGAGAGGGAGAAGCAGGCTTCCCGCAGAGCAGGGAGCCCGATGCGGGGCTCAATCCCAGGACCCTGGGGTCATGACGTGAGCCGAAGGCAGACGCTTAACAACTGAGCCACCCAGGCGCGCCGGAATCATGTATTTTTGGATGAAATTTCCCAGCAAATCATGTATTGTATAATCAGCCTTACCTATAGTTTCCTTTGCA